GGTCAGACACGGGCTAGTTAGTTAATCAGTTAATTCGTGAGTTTGTTCAATTGCATGAATAAAGTTGGCTGACTCGGTGTCACGGGGAGGAGAGTGGGACAGAGCAGGGAGAGATGACTGATGGAAATGAGCTGGGGCTGGGAGGCACCGGGGCTCCTGCACTTGTTAGCGATGTGGTCCCAGGCAAAACGGACCCTGCAGACACGATGACGGCTATGAAATTTGAGGTGAGGAGATTATCCTGGGTTGTCCCGACGGGCCCAATCTGACCGTAGGAGTTCCTAAAAGTGAAAAACCTTTCCTGGCTGCAGTTGGAGGGAGCGTTGTCGAGAGAGAGGAAGGATCAGAGAGATGCAAGGTGAGAAGGGGCTCAACCCGCATGGTTGGCTTTGGAAACAGGCAAGGGCCACGAGCCAAGGAATGGGAAGGCCGAGCAGCTGGAAAAGTCAAGGAAATAGATTCTCCCTAGAGCCTCCAGGGAGGATTGAGGCTCTGCTGACACCTTGAATCTAGCCCCATGAGACCCAGGTCAGACTTTTGATCTTCAAAACTGTGAGATAATAAATTTGTGTCCTGTAGGCTGCGGAGTTTGTGGTAGTATCTAAGGGCCACAGAGAAAACAAATATGGCACCTCACGTCAGGCCTTGGAGCCTCTGTTCTCTCCTTGGCAAAATGGGGACCACAGCCCCTGCACCCTTGCATGGTTGTAAGAATGAGGTGAGACGGAGTGTGGAAGTTATCCAACGCAGAGCCGCGCACACAGTAGGTGCATGGGGCCTGCTAGCTAAACTGGAATTGGAACGATGAAACCGGGCGGTGATTGGCAGGTGTCCATCAGGGTGTGGACAGCAAGCCCTGGAGGTGTCCAGAGGAGCGGGGACGGCTCAGTGGACAGGCTGGTCAGAGGAGGTCCCTCGGGGGGGCGAGACTGAGACATGAGTTGTAGGGACGTCATAGGAGAATTATTCTGTGGCTTGTAAGAACGTAAAGTCTGTGTCAAATCTGAGTATTGGAGTTAGGGGCTCCTGCACGTGGGGGTGGGTACACCCTGAGGCAGGGGTTGGAGTCAGGCGTCACTGACTTTGGGTCCTCACTGAGCTACTTACTAGCTTGTCATTACCTTCTCTGAAAGTCTTTTTTTTTTTTTTTCAAGATTTTATTTATTTTTTTGAGAGAGAGAGAGAACATAAGAGAGAGAGAGAGAACACACAAGCAGGGGGAGGGGCAGAGGGAGAAGCAGACTCTCTGCTGAGCAGGGAGCTGATGTGGGGCTCCATCCCAGGACCCCGAGATCATGACCTGAGCCAAAGGCAGATGCTTAACTGACTGAGCCACCCAGGTAGCCCTTGGAAGTCTTTAAAAATAAGGATAGCAACACCTACCATAGGAATTTGACAGGAGGATGAAATCAGGTGAGATATTGACTGTAAATGTTCTTCAAGGACAACACTGCAGAGTGCATGAGGGAATCACGGTTAGTCTTTTCCATTGCTCATGGGACGAAAATCAACAGTGCTTCATGTGGCCGAGGGCCTAATGGAACCCTGTTTGATTTGGGACCATTTTCCCCTGCTCTCTGGGAATGGGAATGTGTGCCCACTTCCTGCCACGCTCATGCCTCTCTCTAGAGACCCACTTCCTCCCTCGGGGCCCACGCAGCCAGGAAAGGTGACCCATCTTTGTCTGCATCTCACGGAAGGAAGGTTGCTCCTTACCTTCATCTCCCACTTGCCACGTGACTTGAGGAAAATGACGGTTTGTTTCTGGGCCTTATTTCTTTGTCAGCAAAATAAAGATGTTGCTCTGGACCCTTTTTTAACTCTAAGAGTCTGTGAGGCTGTGTTTCTAAGAAAAAACAAAACTAAACGAGAAGCAAAAGGATTGACATCACTACCATAGGACTAGAATACTCAGGGCTACACTTTACTTGCTAGAAGCCAGACACTGTTCACCTAATTGTTCATTTGATCCTCACAAGGATTCTGAAAGGTCGGTACTGTTCTTATTCCCAGGCACAGAGAGGTGAGGTTGCTCGCCTCGGATCACACAGCGTGTGTGGGGTGTGCGTGGGCTTTACCCTCAGCGGTCGCCCTCCACAGGCCGTGCTAGTAACCAAGAGCCTTGGACCACTTCAATTCTCTCCTCCATTGTTTGGGGGTCCTCATGGATCACTACCAAGACCTGGTCATGTCTTCCTTACACCCCATGTTTTCTTGGCTGGTTTTTCCTAGTATAGTTAGGTTATATTTTACTGTTCCCCAGAAATTTAGGGGCCAAGCAGGAAGAATGTTCTGAGATATTTAACAACTGTGTCTTCATGCTGTTGGATAATGTATGAGCCTTACATTCTAAATAATTGATATTTATTGAGCACTTACTATATACAGGATCCATTCCAAGAATTGTATATATTTTAGTGCTTTTAGTTGTCACATCCACCCTGTCTAATGAGGTAGGTCCTCTTATCATCCACATTTTCCAGATGAGGAAATGAAAGCACAGAGCATGGGTAGAGTAGCGTGCTTATGTCACACAGAGAGTGAGGGGCATTGCTGGGATCCAGACCCAGGCTGTCTGGCCACAGACACCAGGCTCTTACCCACTTCACTTTATTGTCTTTCTCAAGATTACCTCCTCTGGAAAGGAATTCTGTAGCCTATTTTTAGAAATTCTATAATAAGATTACATAAAAATGAAACAAGCTGCTTTACTTTTGGGTTCCTCACAGTCTTGAATAACCAAATGATGATCCGGATCTTTAAAGGCAGGAACAGAGCAGGTACACTTGTTAAACTCTTTTACTCATGGGGACTCTTTACTTCCGGTGGATCAGCTCAAGGCACATATTTTTTGTGAAAATCAACTCTAGAGGCATTGCAGATGGGTTTTTTGGGGAGGAGTCAGGTTCCAGATTCTCACTAGCCCTCCCCCATTCGAGTTCTCCCCAGAGATTCCCTCCTCACTCCACCAGTGCCTTTGCTGACCCCATAATGCACCTGACATGTGTTCAGGGAAAAACAAACTTATGTACTGAGTCTCTGAAAATTAAAGTACACTCTCAATGTACCATGTTGGTAATTTGCCGATTAAAAAATCTTTTTTTTTTTAAGTAAGTGATTTCAGGTAAAGTAAATCATTACTCCTGAGTTATACTCTTGGTAAATCTGATTTTTTATGAAACAGGTTTGAAAGCGAGGAACATTTGGCTTTTCCTGTGGATGGGAGGAAAACGTTGAATGGGGAGAGAATGACAGAAGAGGGTGTGGAAGCCATAGGAGTTGAAGCTGTGGTTTTCCCCAAAAGTTGCACAAGATGATAATACGACTTCTGTTTTTCATCTACTCTGGATGGCAACTGGGGGATCCATCAGCTTGCTTGAGAGGACAGAGCTGGTTATGTCGAAGGGCAGTCTAATTGTTAAATCTTAGAAGGTCTGGTTGTCTAACCTGTTGGCCATTCTTGTTTGAAGCACCTGCTGACATCTTTTCAACATGCTTCCACGCTGGGAGACAAGGGATTCTCCTTGCACTGCCGTTTTGTCTATTTCCACATTCAATTCTATTCTGTCTGTGGTTGCTGAGCACAAGGCTTGCAATGAGCCAAGCACTATGGGTTTAGTACCCCTTTAATCCACACATGAATGCCAGTGTCTGGAGATAGTTGACTAGAGCATGTCTCTGCTTTGGAGGGAAACTCGTTAAACAGAGACAAATAAGCCAAATACACAGCCCATCATAACTTTTGGCAGAACTCAAAGGTCAATAGAGATGGAACAACACGGAGGTTTGAGAGATCGTAGCTAGGTGGTGTGCATGGGGGTTCTGGAAAGTTCTCTTGATGGGGTGGCAGTGGAGCTGGACTTTGAAAGATGAATAGGTTGTAGCTACACAGAGAAGTTATTGGAAAAGAACTTCTCGGGGAGAGAGCTGCCTGAGCATGGAGAAGAACTTGTCCGGGGCTGTTATTAGCTTGCCAGCAGCAAAGTGGCACTAGATTCAAGTTCTTTTGCTGTTTCTATGACAACTGCTGACCCCTCATCTGTTAGATGCCCCCCAGCACTGGTGGGGAGGAATGATGGAAAGCTTTCCAGATAGTTTCTAAAGGACCCAGATAAGTTATTTCACTCTTGATATACCCCTCTGTTTTCATCAGCAGAATGGGTATAAAGTAATTACCTCATGAGGTTAAGGTAAAGATGAAAAGTAAATGATGTGTGTAAAGCTTTAGAATTGTGAATGGCACCTAATAAATGCTCAATAAAAATAATAGTATTTATTGTGTATTATTATAATTGAATGCTTGAAGATTTCAACAGATAGCTTTATCATGAAATCTCTAGGGGCGGGCACACCCTAATTAATTCTGTCTCTGCTGCATTTACCGGTTTCTGAGCTGGTAGCTTTCAGTAAATGTCTTTCAGATAACTTGAATGGTTGAATGAAGAAATATGAGAAAAATACCCCTTTTCCTAGGATGAATCATGTACCATTTGCCCTATATACTTGAGACTCCAGACCCCAGACCCCAGACCCCAGCCTGGGAAGGGAAGACCCCCGTCCTCCTGGGTCAGCTCTTTCCCTTCATGTGCATCTTCTGTGAGTTACTCTGGGGTAAAGAAGAACATTTGACCCCTGTTTAGAAAGATTGCCTTTCACAATCTCCCAGTTCCCTAGATGGGAATTGCTGAGCTGACAGAATGTACAGAGAAGAGCTAACTATTTTTAGGATGAACTAGAAAGATTAGAACTTTGCTCTCTCCTCAAATATCAAACCTGCAATCTGTAAGAATCCAAACAGGAATATTTGGGGAACTGGATATAGGGAATTGTTCATTGCACTCTTATTGCTTAAAATTCCTACACAAAAATGCTAATGGGCCATTGATACTGGAGTGTCTACTTTGTGCCCAGCACTGTGCTGAGGGCTTTATATGCACCATGTTGTTTAATTCTGCTATTAGCAACCTCATATGATTGGTTTAAGTCTTCCTATTTTGCAGATAGGAACACGGAGGCATAGAGATGTAAGGTATCTTGAGCAAAGCCACAGAGGGAAGGTTCCAGGAGCTGGAATTCCATCCCTCATCTGTCTGGCTTCAAGACCCACGCTCTCTCTGAGGACGAAGATAAGGACGCAAACCAAAACAGAGAGGAGAAAACAAGCTGGCCCGGAGGGTTGAAGAGTGAAATCACCCCAGTCACGGCGGATTTGGTGAGCGAATCATTTGGCCGCATAGAGGGGCAGATTCCCAGATGAGAGAGTCAGACGAGTCTGTCTCTGGGGAGCTCACACCCTAATAGGGGAAACGTAAGAGGACTGGTTCTCATCTGCCCAGCCCTAGCATTTTCTTTATGGGGTCTCCCCGTCCGTCCTTGCGTGCCACACTGGGGTATTTCCAGTCAAGTCTGCACTCTCCCAGACAACAGGTGGCCCTTTGTCTCAAACTGGAGAACTGGACACTGGGAAAGTAAATTGTGACACAAGAATTAAACGTGGCAAGAGCTGAGCGATTCGGTTAGCAGCACCCTGAAGGTAACTGCCTGCTAATTCCTGCCTTCTGGCTCTTCAGCTTTTCTTCTTTTCTGAGGGCTTCCTTATGGTAGGTTCTCTAGGTTGGTTCACTCAACACACATCCCAAGTCTCTTCCCGCTGTGCTTTCTCTATTCTAGGAAGTGGAAGGCTCAAAGCTCACCTGCCCAGACTTCCTTACGGTTAGGGGTGGCCATGTGGCTTAGCCAATGAGTGTTCATCTGCCCTCAACGTCTCTCCCCTTTCTCCTTCTTCTTATTGGGATGTGGACACGATGGCTGGGGCTATGGCAGAAACCTTGTAAGCATGAGGAAAAGGTTAGAAGCGCTGCACAGATATCAGGCAGCACCTTCCCTTTAGGCTTCTTGCTCAGAATCCTTTATGCTTCAAACAGCTCTGTTGGGGGGTTCCATTACTTGTAATCAGACGCACCTCTTAACTGCTACCCCTTCTATTTATTTCCTTTGCATTTTTTTCTTATGGGGAGGGTGCTTGAGGTAGGCAGAATTTCTTTATGCAACCAAAACCATCCTAATAGATGCAAGAAAAGGAGGAAGGCACACAGCAAACCACAAGGTCAGCCCGAATGAAACATGGTCCTGCAGGGGAGAACAGTCACAGTTTGGATTTATGTTGACACAGTCTGTTTCATTTTTCTAAGGGTTTTCTCTCGCATTGTTTCCTTTGGCTCTCTCGGCCGTCCTGTAAAGTAAGAATTATTACTATACCTGTCTTAGAGGTAAAAACAAAATGAAACAGATCAACTTGGTGTTTGAATACTATGGAGAAACGGTGGCAGCCTCATGAAAGGAGTGTTTTGAATGGGGGTTTGAAGGACAAACGGCCTTTTAATAGGCAGAGAGGCAGCGGGAAGAGCGGTCCTGGCTAAAGCAAGAACTACGAAGCCCAGAGGCATGAGAGGGCTGGGTGACTTCGGCAAATGTGGCTGGTGCTTGGGGCTGGGGCCTGGGGGTCTTGGGAAACATATGGAGGAGGTAGGGTTGGAAAAGTCAGCAGGGGCCAGATCGTAAAGGTCTGGTATGTTGGCAGCCTCTTTGGGTTGCAGAGGCAATTGGGTAACTTCAACTAATAGGGTAATTGCGAGGATACATGTGGGAATAAAAGAGCTTCCAGAATTAGGGCCAAGCTTCTTAGGGAACCAGGCATATAGCATAACCAGCATCACAGGATGAACAAGATTCTTGGGAGAACCCGGCCTCATAGAGTTTGGAAGTTACTTTTTTTTTTTTTTTTTAAAGAAAAACACTAACCTGAAGCCAGTGAAGCAAAGAGGAAAGTATCATCTGGGCCTGCTCTGAGGGCAGATGGCAGCCTCTTGAGTTTTCGATGTGAGTCGATCATTGCATAAACAGGGTGGCCTCTGGGCAGGGGTGGTCCGCTTCGCAGGAGCTAGCTCCTCAGTGAGCACTGGGGCCTCCAGTGGCCATGTTCTTTCAGCTGGAAGTGCTTTGTCTCGTAGTCCGTTCGATTTAGGCATTGCTGGGTAACTCTCAATGTGTGGTTGGTTACACTGGTTTTATTCCCTGTGTTGATCTGCTGGGGTGGAACAAATTATTAGACCCATTTTAGGGAAAGGGCGACTACTGAGTTTCAGAAAGGTGACCTTCCTTGCTCTAGGTCAGGGGGTGAGGAGGTGGCAGAGGCAAGGACGGGACACAGGCCTCTCTTTTGCCATTTGGCCAGGTGCGCATAGACAGGAAGGGGAGAGGAAAGCGTGCCTGGCCTTGGGGATGGCCGGGGGCCTTAATGATAACGTCACCTGGAGTTGGTTGAGTGTGTTGAGTAATCACAAGCATAGGCTCTGGAACAAGAGGGTGAACTCAAATCCCAGATCCACGTCCTACTAGCTGTGCAACCTTGGGCAAGTTGCTAAACATTTCTGAGCCTCTGCTTCCTCATCTGTAAGCTGGAGTTAGCAGCAGGGCCTGCCTTATGAAGGTCGTGGTGGGGAGTAAATGAGCTACAGCGTGTAAAATGTGTCCTGGTGCCCCGTGATAAAATGTCTCTTATCACAACATCCTTTGAATAAACTCTTTCATTTGGAGTTTCATATTGATGATG